GAAAAAAAAAAATGTCAACTGATCTCTGATTGGTCTGACTGTCAGGTGTTGAGGTTTGGTAGCCAATGAGATACAATGTTGTAAGTAGCTTTGGATTGACTCCAGGAAAGCAAGAGGTTTCCCGGTAACTTTCACCTCTGTTGAAACACAATGTTAAAATATTGAAAACTTGCAACCTAGTGAGACATTGCGAAGCGGGTAAAATGTCTGTCAAATTTGCATGGGAATTCCGTCCACACTAATACTCTTGTTGTTGATTTCTGGAGGGGTTTACTTCAAAGATGTTGCGTACGCTTGGTTTAATTTTCCAGGTTGATGAACAGGGCGACAGCATTTTTGCAACAGCTTGTAGGACGCCGAATTAAGCTCTTACAAACAATTGTCATATTGTGTACGGTCAGGGGGCTGAAAGGTCTGCTAAGCTACTGTGTCTAGCTAAAAAAATGTTGCCTGTTCTTGCTGCTGGGAGCCGTGTGTCGTTTGTTCAGACCCACCAAATATTCTCCCTGCTGTATTTTGTCTGCTGGTGTCACTCAAGAACTAAATTTTCTCACTGAATATCGCTTTTAGTTTTACTTTATTCATTGGTGCATTTTAAGATATGGTTAGGGGGTCAGAGACTACCTAAGCTACTTTCTAGAAAATATGAGAAAAATAAACAAAATTTTTGTTAATTTGTTGTGCAAATTTAAGTGCGCATGACTTGATGAAACTTCTTGTTCATATTTGTTATTCAACCTAAATTTAATGTAATAATCTCGCAATTTTTAATTGCAGAAATTGAAAGTCTTTCGAAAAAAAAATTATACGGAAATAATAAAAATTAATGTTCTAAAATTGTTACTTGGCAAGAACAAAAATGGAACTTTATGTGAGGTTCTAAAATCAAAATGATTTGTGTTACAATGTTTATCGAGAGAATACATTAATCTTGGTACAAAACGCAAATCATGCTCTTAGTTTTAAATTCAGTTTTATTTTAAAAAAAAGCATGGCAAAAATAAAATACAATGTTATATGTTTGTGCACATATAAAACGTGATTCTAAAAATGCATGCCATTAGCTCCACCTGTTTCATAATGTTGACTCAGTGTAGGTGACATTTTTTTCATCAATTACCCAAAAAAAACTTTATAATTCCTGCTTTTTATAACGGCTACATGTATATTTGCCAGCTTGTGTTGGGCAAATACGCCTTACTACTGCGCATATAAATTTTTAAGAAAGCTCCCTTCTCTGGCCGCTGAAATATCAAATTGCCGTTCTCATACAGGTATAGGCCCCCGTTTATGTACCTTATGGGGATTGTTCCCAAGTTATGACTGAGTTACGAGCAACACACGACTTTTTATTAAAAAAATGCTGCTTGTTAGTGGTACGAAGGGAGCACTTGTGCCAGCACTAAAAATTGATGAGACGTTATAAAATGCAGTGATGCAACTGCCGCTGCCGTACTAAAAGGAAGTTGCGGTGATAAAGCCGTCTATTCATCTTGCCGACACCACAATAGAATTGAAAGTAATATTCAAGAAATATAGGGTTTGTGTCTTCAATAAAAAAAATGGAATGGAGTTCCTACAAGATACATAGAATGGGTAGATGCTGTATGAAAATAAATAAAATTGTAACCCAAGATAATTGGCTTTTACTGTTATTGTCTGCACTCCCGCCATTCTCTATGAAACTTGTGTCTCATATTTCCTACTTGATTTGATAATAAAATTATCTGCATTTAAATACAAACCTACACATAAGCTCTGTAGCAGTTGTGAGAAAGTGAATATATTTATGCTGACAATTTCCAAACACTTTTTTTCCAAAAACAACATTGCCAATGGAGGGTACTTGCATAAACTGCTGTCAATTGGTCAGAAATTTTAACATTAGTGTGCCATACTGCTTCATGGCATTGCCAGGCTCTATAAAAACTGTGCTCATAAAGTATCCCCACAGGGAAGAATGACACTTTATGGCATAGCTTTTCAAATCTCTCTTGTCCCAGGCGGTATCTGTGAGGACTCGTATATTACAAAGTCTTCAATTTCATATCCAACATTATCTTGATATTAATAAAGTATTAATGAGCAGGAATTCAATTCATGTTATATATATTCACACTAATAAATATTTACCTATATAGAAATATTCACAATTATGAAATATCTCCTTATTAAAATAGGAATGCTTTTGTTCAAAATATGTGTCTTTAAAAAAGAGTTTTGGTAAATTTTGTTTATCATTAATTAGACTGCAGAGAGCTCTTTTTTTTAGCTCCGCTGTCGACTTTGTCGAGCGGAGCTTATCATATGAGTGATTGTCCGTCGTCGTCGTCCGTCGTCCGTGTCAATGTTTTACTTTTTCGACTTCTTCTTGAAAACTACAAGCCTAAATGCTTTGATACTTGGTGTATATGTACCTTGGGTAGACCTCTCTTAGGTTTGTTCATTTTATGTTGATATCTTTAATTCTCTAATTTTGGTGAATATTTTTGTCATTTTTGGTAAAAACTGATATTTTCGACTTCTTGTTAAAAACCGCAAGTGCAATTGCTTTGATATTACATCTATAGGTACTACATGTGGACCTCTCTCAGATTTGTTAATTTTGTAATGATATCTTTAATTCTTTAATTTTGGTGATTATTTTTGTCATTTTTGGTAAAAACTGATATTTTCGACTTCTTGTTAAAAACCGCAAGTCCAATTGCTTTGATACTACATAAATAGGTACTACATGTGGACTTCTCTCAGATTTGTTCATTTCGTGATGATATCTTCAATTCTCTAATTTTGGTGAATATTTTTGTCATTTTTGGTAAAAACTGATATTTTCGACTTCTTGTTAAAAACCGCAAGTGCAATTGCTTTGATATTACATATATAGGTACTACATGTGGACCTCTCTCAG